TAGGAACAAAACTTGTTTGTTTACACCTCAAGGCTTTGTTTTTTTTTTCAATAAATTATTTTTTTCAAATTTAGACTCCTTTATTCGATCTCCTGTGCCGAAAACATCGATTTTTTGCTTTGTGAAATCGATCGTGTTCCAATCTCCATATCATTTACCGGTACGCCGAGGTTGATTTTGATTAAATAATCTCTAAGAACGAAAATTCTATGGATACATAGTTCAAAAACAATTATTATTCACCTCGCACTCAGGCTCTACACACGGTTGGGAGATGCTTGAGGTGTCAAAAAATCGTTTTTTTTCCTAATTGGGGAGGCTCAGGAGTGTTACTAAAAAATACATCAAACCCGATTTCAAGTTAATTTTAAAGTGACAAGTCGATTTTTGTTGAAAAATATCGATTTTCACCTAAAAACTCACGCTTTTCTGCATTCAAACGTCATTTTCTCTCTAAAATACCACCGTATAACTTTTTTTTGACAATACCATTCAAAAACTGAGACTTCGAGGATGTTTTTCCCAAGGAGTGCCCGCCAAACAACTATGTCTTTGAAATCGAAATCGAAAACAGAAAAAGTCAAATTTTATTTAATTTTCAAATGTAAAGTCTGACCTAATTTTTCACTTGTTAAATTTATGTAATCAATTTTAGTTTTGCATCAGGAAGATGGGAAATTTAACGCTCTTTTGAATGGTATACTTACTTTTAAGTTTGTACTGTAATTTGGTGGAATTATGGCCGTTTAAAGAGTGTCAAGTTGAAAATAGATTATAGATCCTTGCAGAAAACATAATCACAGAAGAATGAATCAAGATACTGGAAGTCACTTCGATGATTATATTTCTTTTAATTATGATTGACAAAAAAATTAGCTTCAAAAGTTAATTATTATATATCGTTGTTTACGAAACAAAACACTTTACAAAATTAAGCAAAATCAGCATATCACTGGAATAGATTTAACACTATAAAATATTATAATACATTGGTTTTAGCAGGTATCTTCTGAAAGGTACTCTTATTATATTAGTTTAATAGATGTCTAATTCAACACAAATATTACCGTGTTAGATATGTAGCATTTTTTTCATTTCCTGATATATGATCTATTTTTCTGAACTGAGACCTCTAAGCAGCATTTCAACTGGCATTTTCAATTTCAACTTGTTACGATATGTAAGTATTTTATTTTAATACTGATCTCAAAGTTCAACTCGAATAATCTGTGGCATTGGAAAAATTATAATATCACAGTACACATACGTTTCACAATTATGTTGTACGCGAAGTGCAACATACTTTGAAATTGATGTATTTTAACATTTTATCTGCAGTAGACAGATGCATTAAGCGACGAATAATGTCTACATTCTACGTGGATTCTTATTTGAAATTTGTTCATACCCATTTCAGTGAATTTTCAATAAATATTTTCGCAACGCATATAAAATTCTGCTTTATACGTTTCGCGAACGTTTCGTAATAGAATCGCTGGCTTCTGCGATGACGTCGTATACTTATCTCGAGTGAATTGCTTCCGTAATCATTTCGTGCCAAGTGTTATGTAGTACACTCAAAATTGAAGTTCTTAAATTATCCTTATATCAAAGTAATACATTACAAAAAAGCAAATTTGCAACTCTTGCGTGTATCACTTTTTCAACTACGATCATTTTTATTTTCAATATTCTCGAAATGAAATATTTTTTAAATCTAAACTCGGGTCTTCATGCTTTTCGTTCTTTGAGAATGTGTTCAAAAGTAAATATTAATTGGACCATATACAGCAATTTAATTTTAGTTCGTTTAATCATCCGTTGACTTTTCGATGCCAATTTATCAAAAGTATATTGATCACGTGGAACATTTATTTTCACATGATTTGATGCGCGTATATGGTTTTGTCAATGATGGATGGAGTGTATCGATTTAAAAACAAATTAATTTCTTTGAATGTTGTGTGATTAGTTATAAGTAAACTGAGGGTGTTTTTGCGCTTATAGCAAATAAAAAATACGGGGAAATCTACGTACACAAATGTAAGAATATATAAAATCTCAATCATAAGTTACATGTTATACTGTTTAGAAAACAAGACGTACTTTCATTTAAATTTCAATTCTTTTTGTTCTCCTTACATATTTAACGCCGCATCAACCATTGATTATTAGCGACTGTCTTTTTTTTGTATCTATGCAAATATGAATTTTTATTAATCGAATATTGCTTATTGAAAATATAACGTATATCGTATAGTACATGAAAGCACTGTTCTCTTTTATAATAAACTGTTTAGTTAGTAATATGAGCAAGTTAGGAGACAAAACTTGCATTTGCACCAAGAGGGAAGTCCCTTAGGGGATGAAGCGCAAAAATCGAAATTGTTCTTATACGATAGCGCATAATTAGCGCATAAATCCTGCACGTTTTTCTGTCAATATTGCTTATCATTAACACGTGGGGGAGCTTACTGGCATCCTAATCAGCCCTCCCATTTAAATAAATTTTTTTGCATTAAACGGAGCGAGCGCAAAATTTTTTTCTCAAGGATTTGAAGAGCGCATAAATAGTGCATTATTATGGAATTTTTTCCTGAAATTTTATTTAAGTAGGAAAGCTAGCTAGGCAGACGTGATTTAACACAAATGTGTAATCTAGGTTATTGTTTTGATAACAAAAAGTGATATTAAATTTGTTGTTTTAAAAAAAAAATTTACGATCTTCTTCGGCAGTAATTCGTGACTCAAAAGGCTACACATATACTTATCCCTCGAGTAATTGGAATCATTTTGAACTATAAGAATACATCTCGTAGTTGTCAATAAATGGGTTAATTGAAAACATATGTTACGTACGTGCACTCCTCGCGGGCGTTACCGAAGTGGTACGTGTACTATCGATCTCAATGATCTTTATAAAAAAAAAAAAATAAGGATACACTGATAGAAACTTAACTATTCGTTTTATTGAAAATATAGGTGTCTGCTATGACATGCTACGCTTATGACGGTAGATTTGTATCTGATCTTGCCTTGAAAAATGCCACCCTCGAGGACTCGAAGGTGGTGGGAAAAATGATCGGGTGGAAATGAAAATTTGTTTGTGATTGGTTGAAATATTCGGTTACAGAAGGAGACGTCGGCTGAGGAGGAAAACGATAACTCTATTGTTTTTAAAAGGCTAGCGGAAAACGGTAAAAATGACCGCGCGAAATCTGCTCACTAAATGTAGTAAAACCTAAGCGCTTACATTTTGGAAACGCGCATTTATGATAGGGTCGACCAGAATTACCCTTAACTGTCGACGGCGGAGAATATAATTTTACGCTTAAATAAAACTTACAACCTAACAACATATAAACATTCATTTAAAGTGAAACAGTTTGATATATTTGATTATAAAACAGAATCCGAAAGACCCTTTCGGACTACCCTTTATAACGTTTCTTTCTCAGAGGCGTATGCATGCGATAAGCGTGATCGCGACATGATTAGTCGAACATTAATCTTCATCGTTTGGATCAGAACGATCGACGAAACGATCCGAGACGATTGCGAGCAGATAGTTGCGTGGGTACCACTTGGGGGCTGCCACGTAACGTCGAGTCATTGGATATTCATTGAGTATCGCGAAGGCCGATAATGATAATCCGCTGGAAGAATGCTGCGGTCTCAGAGCCACAGTTATGCGGGGCAACTAGCCGCATGTCAATTTGTTCCCCGTTGCTCACCCGTTACTGTCGATATCAGTGACACTTGGCACAAGATGATCGCGGAAGCGATGCACTCGGAACAAGTATGCATACGGTATCATCGCAGACACCACTTTATTACCAAGTATTCACATGAAATAAAAAACAAGCTGTGCACAGGTTAAAAAGTAAAGGAATTTTTTATACTGGCTTAAGAATCTTGTTTTTTTTTTTTTTTTTTAATAATGGAATTATTAAGTCAGTCATTTGAATCATGCATGTCGAAGCCTTTTTTAAAGTTACTTAATCGTTAACAATGCTTTTGTCTTAATTTTTGGTGATAAGTATTGAAACACAGGACTCGTTATATTCATAAATCAATTTGCCTTTTATTATTGAATTTCAAAGATATATCAGCATGAGATGTTTATATTGAAAGATATTGAAAAATATAGCAGTACAATAAGTATACGTTAAGAGTTGATGGATGGATCATCATATTTCTCATTTGATTGTAATTAGGCGTAGATATTATCATCTAAAATAAGAAAATCGAATGTACTCCATACCATTTATGTTTTATTAAAAAATAAAATTCTAATTATTCCCTTTTGTAAAACCCATTATAATGTTGAGCTATTGTTTACATGGAAATGTTATCATTTTTATGAATCGATTATGGTAACTTTTTATGAAAGTATGATACTAGTAGTTTAATTTTGTATTACTTATTAAGTTTTGTTGTATACACGTCTTTAATTTCAATCTATTCACAGTTATTTGTTTGTCGAGCATCTCATTTTTTCGAACTTTTATTTATTTCTTCTTACATCAATGATACACAGTCAATCTCATAAGTCGTTCGTCTCATGTCTTTTACACAAAATTATCTAATTTAAATGACAGTTTTAATGCTTCCAAATAAAGTTCTCATCATAAGCATGTACATGTGTAAAGTTTATTCATGAACATATTTATAATGAAAGATTTATTTAAAAACATTACACCTATCGTTCAAATTAAATAAATTTCTTTGATAGATATAGGGGGTACGAATGACAAATGAGACTGACCCCACAAAATCAATAAAAAGTATCACACTTTCCATCGGCTTCCTTTTCCTTCCTTTCATTCTCAATTAATAAACTGCTCTCCGAAATTTCACCATTTTCTCTTATCGCGTCTAATAATGTAATATTAATACATTGTTTTCTCACTATTCCCTCCACTCTTCGTCGACGATTCGAACGTTCGACGGAAGCCTGGAAATGTGAGAGCATGGTTCGCAAATTTTCGCACACTTACGGATGCATGGAGGCGAACAAAAGTACCGTATTATGTCCATTTCCGCGTGACTTTTCTTCGACGATGATTATCCCGGAAACGTCCCTTATCAGCGTCAACATCCACGTGCGAAATTCCAAACGGTCGTTCCATCATCGCGTCGTCAAAGGTTGATTGTCGTCGCAGTTCGACAAGCGTCGACGAAAGACTGGGAAGACTTCCTTCTCGAGATGGCAGCGCGACAACTAGCGTAGGTATTTAATATACGCGTGGTGACTTGAACGCGTGGGCGAAAGTTTTGGCGACCGTTCTTTCATCGTAATCGTGGGGCTGCCAACCTGTCTGCTGGCCCGAATCAATCGTCGTCATACAGATGAAAAGGAAAATGCTCCTTATACTCAAATTTTTGTTGGCTGTTATTTGAAGAATTGTAACAAATTCTTATTTTTTTTCTTTAGTTAAGCTTCTATAAAACTCTCTAATAATGAGAATTATATGGCGTTACATAGGTTTGTAGATGATGTAATTTATCTTACATTTGAGTTTATTTTGGTAATCATTTTCATTATTTTCTACCCGCTGAAAGTACGATTAATGCAAAACTGTATTGCAATGAAATAGAAGCCTTTAAATGCATTTAAAATGAGTGAAAATAAAGCAGAATTACGTTAAAATTATTTTAATTAAACATACAACGTTTTAAAAAAGATTTGTATGGTAAAAATGTCTTTTATATAAACGGTATTTCATATGTACCAACCTAGTGGATAAAACATTTTTTTATGAATGAAGAATTCACAAGTAAAACTTTGTCGATTTTTCCTTATTTATTACTCGAATAATTTTTTCTTTGATTATCGAAAACAATAAATATTTACTCTTTATGGAAAATAAGAGTATCCTATGGGAATAAAAGTAATCCTTACATGTGTATGCGTGTAAAATATTCCACGTGATATTTACACATTATATATGATCTTTCTGTCCTGGTTGTCGTACATTTGTATGAAATATGTAGTCCTTACGCCGTATGTGATTTCCATATGATTCGTGTGGTACTTGTCTCATTCTTATGTGGAATGTGTCTTTATATATCGGTTGTCGCGTTTTTCTGTGTAAGAAGTGGTTATTAAAACACTTTTTCTACATATTTATTGATTGTTCCAAGCGTTTCTTACAAGCCACAAGTGGACGGACGTCGTAATTCGGAATGCGACATTCACTTTTACGTCGCTCGCTGCAATTAATGGGGCATAATGAACGGCACGCTGGAATTTATGGCACGACACGGAACAGGTCTGATTATCTTCACATCGTTTCTCGATGTCACGGTTAAACGTATTGTTGATTTCTATCGCTATCCACGCTCGTCGATTTCGATTGTAACTTATTTTTGAACACGCAGTTGTCGCATACCTGAGCGCAAGGTATTTATACTATTTTAAGACAAAGTAATTGCGACTCGTGAAACCTTTCGATTAAACATGGACGTTGCTCCTCTGAGTTTGCCAAGTTTTGTTGTTAAACAAGAAACAACATTGTAAGTTGACGATGACAAAATAGTTTTCAAATCTCGATTCTATCTGACAAACTGCTATTATCTCTATTTTTAAGGAAATTGAAAAAGAAAAATATACTCTTAAAGAGAATTCAATATGTAATGTATTAATAATTTTTGTTAAATCTAGATTAACGTCGCATCAATTCATAGGTAATTATTTTATTACAATCTTTTTAATAGTATGAACTGATTGATTTGTTAAGGGGTTAGTCGCAATCAGGAAGAGGAAAAACGACATTTCTTTGTAGTTTTTTTTTAGTTGCATAAGTAACAATTAAGTATATTATAAGGCATGTTTTAAACAACTAAAACACATTTTTTGTTTTAAGAAACGTTTAATTTATATCGTCATAACAGCCGATGACGTAGACGATGATTTAAAAACATAGGTTTGGGGTGAGCAAGATTTCTCTACACTGGTTTCCCTGAAAACAAAAACAAAGGTAGATTTCGAAAATAGATTAGTTTAGCGGATGCCTGAACGAAGGATTTTGGAAAAAATTACTTTAAAACAAGATGGCGTACATTTGAAGTTGATTTTCAAGTTTTTCACTAAAATTAAGCGATTCAATATAGGATAAAAAAAAGTATACAAGAAAATAAAAAATCCTTCGATCAAGGACCCATTAGTCTAATATATTTTCTAAGTCTACCTTTAATTTTGTTTTCAGGTGCACCAGTTTGAGGAAATCTTGCTCACCGCAAACCAAGTGGCCACCCACGCCATCGCCTGTTATGACGAAATGATTTAACCGTTTTTTAAAACAAAAATTCTTTTATAGTTCTTTAAGACATACTTTGTAGTTCGTTTCTTCTTGACTAATTGCGAAGCAATTTTTATAATTTTTTGCAGCCAAAGTATTTGACATGAACTTTTCAAATTTAGTACATTTATTTGTTGTTCACGCAAGGAGAAAAGGGGTGCAAATAAGTATAACCAAAATTGCGCACGAAAATGTATTTCCAAATCAAAATGAACTAATCTCGAACGAAAGAAAATATAGCAAAATGTCAAATGCGACTCGCACCGTTTCTCGTGCGCGACCAGCTTATCAACAACTGGCACGCCCGTTCCGAAGGGCTCGCTTCACCCCTACTTGCAGATCCCTCACTCTTTCACAATCGCGTCAGCAAACCTCGATTCGAAAATGGACAAGAATCTGCATTAATTAATTTTATTAAAATGAATTCTTGCAAAAAAGGAACAAAGTTCTTTCCTTCTTGTTGGAATATTAGCCAACTATTATTGTTAATTTATTTGTTACACTGGAGATAAGCAAAGAACATAGTGATCACGATAACATGTGTTGAATGTACTCTTTTCCGCGGTAATGGAAACGAGGTTAATACAAAGTCAACACTTTACATTCATAAAATAATCCCCATGTAATTTTAGTTTTACCTTCGACTCGCTTATCATTTGGTAAATATTGATACCGTAAAATAAAAGGAAATATTTATAATAGTATAAAACTAAGAGCTATATAATTTTTTTAATTACTACGAACTGTACATAATCACGTCTTTGTTGCTGTGAATATTTTATTTGTATATTTAGTAATGTTCTTTTCGATCAAAAAATTTTAATAAATTATATGTGTAAATTTTTTGTGTACTACTAGATTATATTTGCAACGTATTACTATATTGTATACGTGCGCGCGTGTGTGTGTGGATAACACTCATTGTCAGTACCGTTTCCACTAACAAATAGAATTTGTTTACTATGTCTGTAAATCCATCAGCTTATTTCTCTTCAGTCTTCTGGTTCCTGGTGCTTGACCTAACACATTAACCAGCTTGTAAGGATAATTTGTTATTCCATGTTTGCGTCTTTTAGCAAGTTTCTTTATTTATTCATTAACGTACTTTCTTTCCAAATCATTAATAATATTCATTCATGACGATTATATAATTCAATAGTTAAATTCTCATTTATTCGCTTTAAAATATTTCTGTCTGTAGCTCAAATTACACTTTTTATTTAATATTTTTAGTTCGTTATTTAAATATTTTGCCCAGATACGAATATTGTTCATCATTATTGTGAGATTGTGATATAATTTACACTGTGAAATATTTCTGTTTATACTTCAAATTATAATTTCTGTTTAACGAGTATCAGACGAAATTCTTATCGGTAATATCTTTAGTTTGTTATTCAAATTTCGTGGCCAGATAAGAATTTTTCCCATCTCTGTTTCGAGATTGTGAAATAATGTCGACCTCGTAAACGAAGAAGCACGGCAATGTGATTCTCCTCGAATTATCATTTCACGCGCAAATGTACTGCTGTTCCACAAATTTCCACAGAAAAATAAAGCACTCAAGATGATAAAGCCCGAAACATGCGTCAGCGTGCAAATCGAGCGAATTGTTCCTTCGTGGCTTGTTTAGAAGGGGCTGATATCGTGCTCGTGCAGGCAAATATTTGCGTACCTTAGTGTACCATGATCCTCCTCGAAATATGTACAATCGTACGCATATATTATGGAAAACAAGTGAACACTGACTGTTCCTATGTTTCGTGGTTGAAAGGATATATTTTTCAATTCAAAAGCATTGCAGATGAAATTGACCATGGATTAATTTACGAAAAACCTATTATTATTTCTTAAATGCATCATTATTATGTTTTTAGACAATTCCCTCGTAGAGTAATAATTAGTATAATGCATAATTACGAACACAAAATTTAATTTAAATTGTTTAAATCAAGTATGTTCATTAAATACTTAGTACGTACAGTGGGTGTAGAAAGTATTCGTACACCGATCAATTTCCAAAAAAACTATGTAAAATTTTAATTTATTAATTTATTTTTTATAAACAATGAAATTATACACATTCTCGGAAATCTCTAGAATAGATAGATTAAAAAAAAATAGTTATTTATGTAAGTTGCGAAATTAACAAGAAAAAAACAATTAATCGATAGAAATGTTGAAGCAATAAGTATTTGCACAACTGTTTAATTTTTAAAACTTCGTCAAAAAAATAGAAATTTACATTAATTTACAAGTATATAATACTTCCTTCGTGGGATGTCCTTTTGATTTTATAATAATTATTGCAACTCTTCTAAGCGTTAAATTAACTAAATTATTAGTTATTCGAAGTGGAATCTTGTTCCATTCCTCTATTACAACATTTTTTAAAAGTACTTTACTGGAAATTTGATGTTTTCTAATTCGTACGGAGCAATAAACTAATGTGTTTACGTTACAAACTCTACTGTAAATAGAATCGTTCGTCATAAGAATCGTTCAAATACTTATTGCTTTTATACTTTTACCCACTTTTCGCACATTTTTTGTTAATTTTACAAATTATATTAACTAGTAAATGTTGTTTTGAGTATATCTATCTTAGAGACTTCCGAGAATATGTAGAATATCATTGATTGTAAAAAAAGAAGTTAAGAAACTATAATTTTCCCTAAATTTTTGGAGAAAGAAAGAAATGTAAATAAATTCTTGTATTCGCCAGTAATCGTTGTACTAATTATTTTCAAATGGCAACAATGAATTGTAAGATCAAATTTAATTAAAATTTCTTATGTTAGATATTTAGTGACCCATACACTCAAGAAACATGGACAGATAAAAAAATATAAATTAATTCTTATTTTCGCGATTAACTATTATACTAATTATTATTATTAAAAGGAAACATTTTGTTAAATTTATTGAACAAAGGATACGTTCCTTAAAAGTAAAAACAAGATTGAAATGTTCACTGTTGTTAATGCCTAATAAACATCCTGTACAATATTTCCCGTAATTTAATTTAAATTTTGCTACTAAACGGAACGACAATAGCTGTCAGGTACTCAATAAATTACATTCTTCTTGAGCAGATAAGTTAATGACGACCATTTTCGTTTTTACAACGTAGAACATTGTCTCTGCTGATAAAACACCAAAAACATTGAGAGACGAAGGAATGCGACCTCCGAGGTCGTTAAGAACCAACTGTATTTGCACAAGCATTATCTACAAATGAATCCCCCTAATGAGCTCGTAACTGAAACGGAGAAGTATTCTCTGAAAAAGTTTGACGAACATTAATTGAATTAGAACAATGTTCTCTAATACGTATATGTTATACAAAAT